GAAACATATTCTGCATTGAGTACTTCTGATGTGCCTACTTTAAGGGCATTTCAATGCAGGAATTTACATTTAATGGGGTACTTTTCCAACAGCTCGTGTTAGCTCTGCGTGATCCTGTATCCTACGTCCTAGTGAAGATTGCATGCCTCCCATGTCCATACCAGTTTATATTCATGTTTTATTATCGCCCTCGCTTGACATATTGTTTTCATTTCTCGCTGTTGTGTCGTTTAAACCGACTTCCTACTTTTCGAAAGACTTTGAAGTGCATACAAAGAGAGCGATGTGAATGAATGTAATTTGTAATCAGTTACAGGCGTCCACCACCGCTAGATGGTGCTGTGCAGCAGCAGCAGCACCTCTCTACAACCGGCTTCAGATGTAAACGTGAGCGGAAGGATGGCGCATGATCGACCCAGTTCAGCAACCCTCTGCAGCGACAATGCCAGCTATGATGAATACGTTTGTTAAACTTTTTTATGGTAACGTGGACGCATAGTTGTCGTGGCCGAGTGGTTAAGGCGATGGACTAGAAATCCATTGGGGTCTCCCCGCGCAGGTTCGAATCCTGCCGACAACGAACATTTTCAATTTTGGAAAAACTTTGAAATTCATTTGGCGTACACATAATTAAGACAGTCTATGAACCACAGAATGCAGTAATTTATTTCCGAAGTACTTCATGTGAAAGGCACGTGTGTTTTTTTTAATCCATTGTTTAAACACAAAAACAAGCTTTTATCCAAACATTTTTTCCGAACTCCTGCCTACGGGTAGACACCCCATGTGAATAGGGCAAACATTATAACTTATAGATATAACAATGTTGATCACTTACATTAAGACATTTCTTGTCTGTATGACACGTTATCTGAAATGCTCGGTGAATATATGAGGTCTACGGACGCAAATCGACAAAGTAGTGAAATAAACACGATGTGTATCAAGGATGTGTCCTTCCACTAGTCTGAAAGAAGATGTTATTGAGGCAAAATAGCCCAAAATCTAAAAAAAAAATTCTGGTTTTGCAATCAAAAAGTGATGAATTGTAAAAGATTAAACTTAACATTAGTATTATTAACATAGTATTTGATCTATAATATCGAGCCAATAATGCAACATTCAGCATACTGAGTATTTTTATTACCTTTTTTAAACACTATTTTTGTCAACACTGCTGGTTACATATTAATAAAGCCACCTGAGAATGAGTTGATGTTTTATAATTTAGCCTTAAGGACACAAATACCACCTGCATTTCCTCAAGATTTGATGCGTTTTTTAAAACGTCAAAGTCATTGAGGGAAAAGATCCTGGTTCATGTAGGAGGTTCTCAGGTGGAAGTGTGCTCAGGGTCAGCTGATGCAATGATGCATTCACACTATATAAAAACAAGCGTTTCATATGCGTCAGTCTTCGCATGTGTGATAAATCTGATATAAATAAGATGTGAATCTGATGTGAATAAGCAGCATTGAGAGCACCTATATTCTGCTTCCTGTCCTATTCTTCACACACACACACACACACACAGAAATGTCTCTCATGTATGTTGAGTTGAGTATCTATCACTTTGCTCTACAATAAATCTGTAATATGTTGAATAAATCTTACCCATTATGGTCACGTGTCCTATTTATAGCCATCTCCAAATTAAGAACATTTTCAAAGCAGCAGTAACGTCATTGATAAGTTCATAAACCTGTAACACAGAGATTCCACACAGAAGGTCAAATATCTTGGAATAAAGCAGCCGTCCTCAGGAGGAGCCCTGAGCTCCATCAAATCTGTCACAACATTTTCATTTCACAGCTGGTGTAAGTCTAAACTCTGCGTATGACACGATGCCAACATGTTGACGGTGGACATTTATGAGGCTGGGCGACATGACCAAAGTATTATCTCACAATAAAGCTCATTTCACACCTTGATAACGATATGTATCACAATGTTATCTGGTCATTCAAGTCTATATCGAATAACCACACGGTCCTGTATACTTTTGTGTGAATTGAATACTTTACAAATCAAAAGTACTGAGTATTTTCTCATAAATTCTGAATTTTAGAACAAAACAATCAGATTTCTGAGAAATATGAGTTAGTATGTGCTTTTCACTATCAATTTAGAGGCCATAATTGTGTATCACGATATCACAACAGGGGCACAACACAAGTAGTTGTTTGCTAATGTATTAATGCTCTGAATCCTGTTTATAGAACCTTTTAAGGTTTTGGAGGTGAGAGAAAAAAAAACTTTAAATAAGAGCATGAATTGCTAGTTTGAGAGCAGGAGTTGTTATATCGAGAGCACAAACAAGTAATTTGAGAGCATGGATTGCTTTGGTTTTTTTTCTCCACGGCACCTCCCGGGCTCCGTAGCCTTCAGGGTCAACCCATGGGCACACCCCTATTTGTATACACATCTGTGTGTCTGCACAGTACCCAGCAGACCCAGTCAGTGTAATCCATTCAGTTTCCTGTCTTCTCCTGCTCAAATCCAGTGGGCCTGAGGCCAGGGAGGAATGCGAAGGAAGTTTCTGTGAATGCCTGAGTATCTGCTCTGATCTGAGGTCGAGGAATGTGGTGAATGCTATCATTAGCAGACAGCATTATCATCCCTATGGATTTCACTTTTACTTGTTTAAAAGTTTGAACAACATGCGAAATACATAGGTAATAACTTCAGACAGACAGCTAGGGCCACAAGCTGCAAAACAAAAATAGGAAATCCCTCCACGTTTAAGACTTTAGTCACATGTGGACGCCACGTGATGTGGTTTTCATTTCTGCCGTCTGTGGGTGTACCATTTGCCACTATTACTTGGATTTGCGTGAACAAGTGTAAACAGAACAAAGTGCAGGTTGATGGAGCAGATTTTGCTCCAGTGACAGCTTGTGAGAGCTGGCTGGTGGAGGAGGAACATACTGCACCAGTGATAAATCTTGGATGCAACTTGAAATTTAATGTTAGTCTTTTTTAGATTCAATTTCAACATGAAACTGCTGCCAACAGTACAGCATGGACATTTCACAGTGGCCCTGCTGTACAAATGGGTTTAACTGCAGACCTCACATCTGGGGACTCCAGGTGTGTGAGCCAAATGGAAGACAGTCACTTTTCTACCACAAAAATATAGAAGCACTTCAACAGTATTGTTATTTCTAAGGCTGGGGGACAGAACCGTAACTTCTGTACTACAAGTACTACAAGTGAAATCAAACCAAATATGTATGAAAGTCACACAGAAAGTGGAATGTTCAAATCCTGCTGGGCAAATATAACTTTATCTTCAGTCTTTCGTGACTAACATTAGCATTCTAGCATTAGCGATGATCTTAATTAGCGCTAACGTCAGATGTTAGTTAGCTAACGTGCTGTTAAAGATTACCGAAGTTACTGTACTGTTCCCCTCTCAGACTAGAAAAGTATGTTATGAAGATTTTTTTTAATTTTCCTACATTATACGTTTGAGTTTAAGCACACAATGTGTGGAAGTAACTTGTGTGCCATACTATCTAATAAAACGTTTAGCTAAGCTAACTACATTTTTACTAACTCTTAACTTCAGCTTCAATCTGCGTTTTCCAACTTATTCTGATAGGCCTATTGTTACATTCTCATGTCTCTTCATAATCATTGTCATAGCTCGGTTTCTTTAAACGACAGCACTCTCATTTTAGTGTAAAGATTGGATTTACAAATGTCACATGGTTCTATAGGACTAAAGTAAATGTTAGCTTCCAAAACACTCTGACATCACCTGCACTTAGCATCAACCAAGCTGTATTTGTTGAGGTCATTTAGCATAGAAACTTTCATTAGCTAGCTTTCTACCCAACAAACATGTTGGCACGACTAACAACAGAAGACGACAAAAAGGCCTGCATTTATCAAATAGCTGGTGAACATAGTGGAGCATTTATCAGACAAATTGTCCGATGTTTCCCTCAGGAG